TCCAGGGCCGTGACTGCCCGGGCGGGGGGCCCAGAGCTCGGGCCATGGACCGCTCCACCCGCCGCTGCCTGCCTTCCGACACTGCGCGCCTCACCCGGCCCCGGCCCGCCCGTCCCCCGACTCTGCCTTCAGCCTTGGCTTCCCCTCACCCGGTCCCTACAGCCCCAGTCCCCCAGTAACCGCGGCCTCGATCCCCGCCCAGTCCTCACCCAGTCCCTGCCCATTCCTCACCCAGTCCCTGTCCATTCCTCACCTAGTCCCCACCCCGTCCTCACCCAGTCCCCACCCAGTCCTCGCCCAGTCCCCGCCCAGTCCCGACCAGGAAACTTCTTACAGGAATGGGCAGTGGGGCTGGAAGGTGGCTCTGTGGTAAAGCGCTTGCCTTGCATGCATGAGGCCCTGAGTTTGATCCCTCAGCACCACATAAGCAGAAAAAGCCGGAAGTGGCACTGTGGCTCAAGGGGTAGAGCGCTGGCCTTGAGCTGAAGAGCTGAGGGACAGCGCCCAGGCCCAGAGTTCAAGCCCCACAACAAAAAGACAAAACAGGCAGTTAGTACTTCTCTTCAGTTTACTGGTCTGCTTTAAAATGTTAGTTTGTACTACTTCTCACCATCACTGAACCTTTTCAGCACGTCCTTAAATTTTACCCCAGGCAGGTGCCTCTGAGAAGGGACAATCACAGCAGGGGGAGACCCCTCAAACCCATCTAGAACAGACCAAGAGGTACGACCAGGGTCCCACAGAGCCTAAGTGTAGTGTGGTGGTGACTCTATGGCTTGATCCTTTGGAGGTAGATGTCACCATGGATAATCTCTGCTCCTTTTGAAGTAGATTATTCCCCAGCATATCCTGCAACTGCTGAGCCCAGCCTAAAACCAACCTTAAATGGTGTCCGTAAGGTCTGCACAGAGACACCTCCCTACCTCTTGGCTAAGTTTTTGCCCAGTATCTGTCACCTAGGTAACTGGCAGACCTGGAAGCAGTCACCTTCCCCTCCTGCTAGGTCACATCTTGGGCTATCTCTGGTCACATGCCAGTCACTGTCCAGATCCAGTGTGACCACGCCTTTCCCTCACCTGACCACACCTCTTCCTGTCCCTGGCATAGAAAAGTCCTGGCCCAGGGGTCCGTCTGCCTTTTTAGCCATGCTTCTCCACCATGAACCGCCCTTCTCCATCATGAACCGCGGGGGCAACAGTTCGGTAAATAAACTTCTTCTCCTGCCTGAATAGTGCATGGTGTTCTCTTCACCGGCTACCTAATTAATTTAATAAACCTTACAGTGTCCTCTTGGCTGGAGAAAAAAAAAGACCATTTTTAAAAACTCAAATCTAAGTTTCCTCTCCTTACATTGCAGAGGGCCAGGGGTTGGGACTGTCCTTTGATGCACCCTTCTCCAGCACGGAGTATGCCAGGCCCTCTCAGCTCTCAGCAAAAAGTTAAAAGTAGAGGTATGGCTAAAGTGGGAGCATGTTGGCTTTGAGCGCCCACCCTCTCCCTGCTCACACCAAGTGAGACAAGTCCTGAGTTCAAGCTCAACAAAACCAAAACATGTTTGAAGTGGTAATATTTACTGTAAACTCTAGCACTCAAAAGGCTGGGGTGGCAGAATTGGGTGGGTGTTCAAAGCCTACACAGTGAGTTCTAGGCTGACCTGGAGTACATAGTGAAACTTGGCTTTAAAAAAAATTCCTTGGCCTTTAAAAGGGTGAGGGGGCTGGGAAGGTGGCTCAGTGGTAGAGTGCTTGTCTTGCATGCCTGAGGCCCTGGGTTCGATTCCTCAGCACCACATAAGCAAAAAGAAAAAAGCCGGAAGTGGCACTGTGGCTCAAGTGATAGAGCGCTAGCCTTGAGCTGAAGAGCTGAGGGAAAGCGCCCAGGCCCAGAGTTCAGGCCCCATGACCGGACCCCCAAAAAATAAATAAATAAAAATAAAAGAGTCAGAAATACTTTAAGATATGTTAGGAAACAAAGAGGCAAGCTGCTTAGACACAGTTGGGTTAGCAAGACAAGATACCAGAACACAAGGAAGGGCAGTGTATCAATGTCCTTAGAACCAAGAAGTCCTGCCCACAAGAGGAATAGCTAACCCAGAGGTAAAATCTGGTCCTAGGTAAATAGGTGCAGATTGGGCCACAGGTGTGGAATTGGGACCTCTTGAAACTTGAGAGCAGTTTGGTTACTTCCAGAGCATTCTGCTTGTGCCAGAGACTCTAAAAGGTCAAAGGACAGCAAGGTGGCCAGCCCAGGTGGACAAAGGAATGACCGGTGGAACCAACACACAGAACGCAGCAGCAGCTGGGTAAACACAATTCTCTCAATCCTTTTTTTTTTTTTTTGTATTTGGCTGTCTGAAGGGCACTTTCTTTCTTTCTTTTGTGAAAATACTGTACAGAGGGGTTACAATTACATGGGCAAGATAATGAGTACATTTCTTATCAAACATTGTAGCCTCCTCCTTTGTTTCCCCTTCCCATCCTCCCCCTGACCCCCAACCAATGCTCCTCCCCTATTCCCTCCCCCCCCCAAAGTTGTAAATTCGACTTGTACATCTCATTGTTGCAATGGGTCCACCTGTATCCCTATTTAAACAACTTGTTTTTTTCCCTTCCCCTCCACAAATTATACCAACATCAAATACAGTGAAAGCAGGGGTTATACCGTGGGGGAGGGACATATAAAACAACAAAGAAATAATCTTATAAATGTGTTAGAAACAATCCCATGAAAGAAAAAAAAACATTTGAATAAATATCTTAGGGTTCATTTCCCTAACATCAACTTATCTGACCTTTTCTGCTTGACTCAGACATATACTAGTTATTGCAAATAAGGAAAACATGGGCCCTGTGTTTCTTTGCACCTGGCTTACTTCACTTAATATAATTTTTTTCCAAGTCTTTCCATTTCCTAACAAATGGGGCAAAAAAATGTCATTTTTTCTGATGGAGGCATAGAATTACATTGTGTATATATACCACATTTTCTTGATCCATTCATCTACTGAGGGGCATCTGGGTTGGTTTCATATCTTAGCTATGGTAAATAATGCTGCAATAAACATAGTTGTGCTGGTAGCTTTAGTGTGGTCTTGTTTGTGAACATTTGGGTAAATGCCCAAAAGTGGGATTGCTGGGTCATAGGGGAGCTCTATGTGGAGTCTTTTGTTCCAAAGTGGTTGAACAAGTTTACACTCCCACCAACAATGCAGTAAGGTTCCCTTCTGTCCACATCCCCTCCAGCATCTGTTATTAGAGTTCTTGATTATAGCCATTCTAACTGGGGTGAGGTGGTATCTCAATGTTGTTTTGATTTGCACTTCTTTTATGGCTAGGGAGGTTGAACATTTCTTTATGTGTCTATTGGCCATCCTTCTTTCCTCTTCAGAGAAGTTTCTCTTTAAGTTTTTATCCTACTTATTTATTGGGCAGTTGTTTCTTTGAAGATTTGTTGTTGGGGGATTTAATTTTTTGAGTTCCAGGTATATTTTAGATATGAGACCCTTGTCCGTTGTATGGCTAGTGGAGATCTTCTCCCAATCCGTGGGCTTTCTATTGTTGCCATGCAGAAGCTCTGCAATTTTATGCAATCCCATTTGTCCAACCTTTCTTTGATTTGTTGTGTTTCTGGGTCTCTATTAAGAAAATTTCGGCCTATGCCAAGGAGACTCCCTCAATCCTTTTTAGTACCTTTCTCTTGCAGTAACTTAGGCTCACAGTTCATGCTCTGGAGGGCAGTGAGACACCAAGCAGAAGTGTGCCCAGGCTGGCTTTGGACCATGATCTTCCAATCTCAGTCTCTGGAGCAGCTAGGACTACGTGTGAGCATAAACACCAACTGTTTGTATGTGTGTGTGCCAGTCTTGGGGCTTGAACTCAGGGCCGGGGTGATGGAAAAATGACTTGAACTAAAGATATTCACCTGCCCCCTCCGTATCTTAAAAAACCAGCATGCATCATCTCCTATCCCCTGCCCTCTCCCCACAAATGTCCTGCGGCTGTAAGAGACAACCTGTGGACACTACTGCACAGAGCCCCTTGTTTCCATTATGCCCACTTCCTGTGACTGACTCACTTCACTCTCAACTCTTGTTAGAGGGTGTGCCGTGGCTTCTCCAGTCTGCCTGGAAGACGTGTCCCTCTCAGAATATCACCCCTGAAATGAGTCTGTTGGTCGGTTGAGTTCGTGTTTTGCCCTTTATTCTGATACATACTGATGACTTGCTTTCCTTACATTGAGTGCTGTCCTTGAGTATTTGTGCTCAATGCTAGCACTCTACCACTTTGAGCCATAGCTCTATGCCTGACTTTCTAGTAGTTAACTGGAAATAAATCTCAGACTTTCCTGCCTGAGCTGGCTTTGAACTGCAATCCTCAGATCTCAACCTCCTGAGTAGCTATGATTACAGGTACGAGCAACAGGAGTCCAGCTTTACTTGGCTTTCTTGATCATGGCTAGTACTCTACCACTTGAGCCACACCTCCAGTCTCGCTCTTTGCTGGTTAATTGGAGATGCATTTGTCATTTTTCTGCCTAGGTTGACTCTACCATAATCTTCCAAACCTCAGTCTTCTGAGTAGCTAGGACTACAGTGTGAGCTGTTCATGCCTGTTTCTTTTTTTTTTAAATCGCGGATTCAGGGCTTTGTGCTATGCAGGGCTTTCCTTCAAGGCCAGCATTCTACCACTTGAGCCACACCTCCATACCCAGTGAGGCCTTTGTTGTGTGTGGAGGATACAGGATGTAACAATGTTTTTTGTTTTTAATGCCAGTCCTGGGGCTTGAACTCAAGGCCTGGGTGCTGTCCCTGAGCTTTTCTGCTCAAGGAGGAGGCTATTCACTTTATGGTAATCAGGATGCAGAGATGGGAAGAGGACAGAGTACCTTCAAAGACATCTACTTCCTCCAGCTGGGCATCACCTCCAACAGTCCACTCAACTAAAACAAATCAGCACTGATGGCAGACCCCTCAGCTGCACCACCAGCTGGGAACAGAGCCTTCGACTCAAGCCTTTAGGGTCATTTATATTTGGAGACAATGCCTTTAATGAGGTAATTAATGTTAAATGGAGATTTTAGCATGGGCCTTAATCTGATCAGTGTCCTAATGGGAGGAAATCTGGACACATGTAATACACCCAGATGACCATGTGAGGACACAGGGCAGACATGTCATGTTTGCAAAGCCACCTCCTCCCTGTGGTGCCTTGACTTTGGATGTCTAGTCTTCAGAACTGCTGAGGAAGTTTCTGTGGCTCAAGCTGGCTATGTGTACTGTGTGTGACAGGCCCAGCAAACTGAAACCAACTGGTCAGTTATCAGCCTGCTTTCACTGGAACTTGCATGGACAGCAATGTATGTTGCCAGATCAAGAGAGCATACTTCCTGTGTCCTGAACGCAGGAAGAGCTGGTACCAGCTTCTAGCCAAAGGCTTCCATCATAGCAGAGCCAGGCTTGGTTTTGCTGTTACAGGTGCTTGAACTCAGAGCCTCTTGCTCTGCCTTGATTTGCTCACCTGAGTCACTCCTCCATTTCTCTTTCTTCCTTGTTATACTGGTTAATTAGAGATAGGAGTCTCAAGGATTTCTCTGGGCTGGTTTTGCAGTGCTTATGAGACAAATTACCAAAGTAGAGATGTCTGTGGGATTGGGTTGCAGATTTCAGGAGCTTGGGAATCTGGGCTTCCTGAACTAGGAAGCCATTTCCTCAGGGTACTTTCAACTGTAAGGGACAGAAATCTGTGCCAAGTGCTATTGGGCACAGCTGGATGGGATGCCAGCTGCCTTATGAGCAATATGAGACAGAAAATAGCTTCTACCAGCCCCCCCCAAGGCCCTAAATTCTGCCAGCCACAGGAGTGAACTGGATGCAGATGCATCCTGAGTGGCTAGATTACAGGTGTGAGCCACCAGGCCAGGCTCAAAATAATTAAAAAAGGAAATGGATGCAGTTTTACTTATCAGTGCTATTTCTCAAGTATATATATATGTATGTGTGTGTGTCAGCATTTCAATGTAGAAATGAAACCATTATTCCACCGCAAAAAGAACTATTATTTCTCTAGCAGGACTAAAAGGTACATTAAAATTTCTGACCCAAAGCAATGTATCTACAAAATATCAGTCAATTTTAGCTTTGGCATCCCTTAACCTTTGAATGGTTTTTTTTTTGGGCCCGGTCATGGGGCCTGAACTCTGGGCCTGAGTGCTGTCCCTCAACTCTTCAGCTCAAAGCTAGCGCTCTACCACTTGAGCCACAGCGCCACTTCCGGCTTTTTTCTTTTTGCTTATGTGGTGCTGAGGAATCGAACCCAGGGCCTCAGGCTTGCAAGGCAAGCGCTCTACCACTGAGCCACCTTCCCAGCCCCCCTTTGAATGCTTTATCTGGAATAAACCTTATGAATTGATTAGTCAGTTGTTATGCTTTTTACAGGTTTTACAACGGTGAGGTAAAACCTTACCCTACCAAAAAACTAAATAGTAAAATATATGTTGTCGTCTCCAGTCAGAAGTTGGCAGTCCTGAATGTCAAAACAGAATTACTGCCACCAGAAACCCAGTGCACACCAGGAAGATTTATGAAATACACTGGGCAGTGTACTTCAGACCCAGTACCTTGGGTCTGGTCAGATGTGCTGGCTGCTTCCCTGAGACAGCCCAGGACAGCACACTACCATGCCTGGCCAAGACTACAAATGACAGGCTAACACTTTATTTTTTTTTGGAAACTAAATACATTTTAATAGAAAACAAAATACAAAATAACTCTTTCAGAAAACAGAAATATCCTTTTCCCACACATTGGAACTTGCTTTGCCCTCAGAGTGCATCTGAGACACATGTATGTGCATGATTCATCCCCAGCCTCTTCATCAGACAGGTGCTGTGGGGTGGAGTGGGGGCAAATGATCATAGGGGAAAAAAGACCCCACACTTCTGAATAAAGTCATTTAGAAACTAAACATTTCCTAAAGCTACCTGTGATTAATCCCAAATCACTCTTCAGCATAATCTCTTTTTGGTGTTAGGGATGAACCAGAGCTCATGCATGCTAGGCAAGCGCTGTACCACTGAGCCACATCCCCTGCCCATCATAATTCTTTTCTTCAGGGGAGAATTACTGACAGATGTGCAGCTGTGTAAAGTCTTTTCCACCACCACTTCAGCTGCCCAATTCCAACTCACCCACCCACTTCTGGAAACGTGTCATCCTGGTTCACCAGGAGTGAATCCAAGACTTCCCATTTTCCTAATCCACGGTGCCACCAAATTATCTGAATTCCCTGAACCTCGAAATTCCAAGTATCATTGCCAGTGCCAGGAGTCAAACCTGAAAGATAATCAGAGAAAGTCCTCTCTGCCAGTGCCAGGTTTCCTCTTCTCTATAATTATAACAACAATGATAAAAAAAAAACAAAAAACCCTGGGTCTCTTATCTTACGGAAATGGAAAGAATTTGCAAGATTATCCCTTCCTTTTCTACCTGCTGCCCCACTTCCTCCATGAGGGAAGCAGGGACACCCCTCTCCACTGCCCCTGGGAGCCTCTGCAGCTGCCCCAGTACCTCCCTGGCTGCCCAGCCCAGCCCAGCCCAACCCACTGGGGAGAAGAGAAAGCACTGCATACAGGAGGGTAGGCACGTTCTCTGAGAACTGACATCTAGTTCTCACCCAGAGTCTAGATGTCACCTGCCCCACCATCCTGGGACACTTGGGCTGTGTGCCGGAGCTGAGCAGGGAGTATCCAGGAGGAAGGGAAGGGTTGGTTTTTCCACAATCAGGGATTCAGTCTCAGTATGCTCATGACTGTGGCCAGAGGTCTCCTAGCCTCACCAGCCCACAACCGCCAAGATAAAAAATATCAGTGTTCTTGATTTTCCTGTGTGATTCCAGTCACCAGCAGTAGGTTGCAGGCCATGAACTGCACACTCAGGACGTTGCTCATTTGCCCTGTGTACACACCCACAAGCTCACTGGAGGAGCCATCAGCGGGCGCACTGCAGCATGTGTTCCTGATGTCCCAGACACGTACAGAGTTGTCCATGGAGGCAGAGGCGACCAGGCCGCTGTCTGGGCTGAAGGCCAGGCTGGTGATGCTGTCTGTGTGGCCTCTCAATTCTTTAAAAAGAGTCCCAGAGGCCAAGTCCCACAGCTTCAGCCGCTGGTCCTCGCCTGCAGAGGCCAAGTACTTACCATTGGGAGAAAAGGCAAGGGAGAGCACAGGGCCACGGTGCCCTGTGAAGAGCCGAACTGAGTTCCCCTGCTGGGCACTCCACAGCCGGACTGTCTTGTCAGTTGAGCCAGTGGCTAGGTAGTTTGAGTTAGGGTGAAATTTGACACAGTCCACATCTGCCAGGTGCCCTGCATATATCCTCAGGGGATACGTCCGGTCAAAGGACCACAGCCTGGCTGTTCGGTCATGGGAGCCGCTGGCAAAGTAGAGGCTATACGGACTTATGTCCAGGTCCCACACAGGGTAGGCGTGCCCTTGGTACAGCACAGTGTTGGTGAAACTCCCGAGGTCCCAATATCTAATAGACATGTCTTCAGAGCAAGACAGCAACCCAGAGCTGTCTGCAAGGAACCGTGTGCTGTACACTGGTCCACAATGGCCCCGCAGAATCTTCATCTCTGTGCCCACGCTGTCATCTTCGTCCTCCTGCACATAAATATAGCAAAGAAAAGATTTAGCAAGCAGGGGAAATCGTGTCCATGACAGGGAAAGACTGAGAGCAGGACTGCCTGGGAGTTCTGTCCATCAAATGATGGCCATCTGGCCCTCTGAAGTCAGGCTAAAGATACAACAGAAAGCAAGCTCTTTATAACCTAAAACTTGACATCCTTGAATGTGCTTTGCAGCAACATCGTTTCAGAGACACAAACACAACGTTTATTTTAAATTCTGGCTGTACACTTGTAAATCCCAATTCCCAGATTGAGGACAAAAAGTAGCCCAAGGGAATATCTATGTGTATTTTGATGGATGTCATTTGAAAAGAACCACTCCTCCAGTTCCTAGTGTTTATTCTCTATGATACTGTCTTCAGTGTGGTGCTGTCTTTGTAAGGCTGTGTTGCTTCCTGTTATTATGACATGAAAAGAAATCCAGAGGCAGGCATGTTGCACATCTCTAATCCCAGTGAGTCTTAGGCAGGATGATTTAGTTTGATGTAGCTTGGGCTATATAGTGAGTCTCAAAAACAAGGATTGGGGGTGTAGGTCAGTGATAGAATGCTTAACCAACAGACACAAGTCTAGGTTCCTGGACAGGTTCATGACTCCTACAATAGGGCTAACAATGAGAGCATGAATAGGTCACATGCCACCCCACAACTTCATAGACACAACCTGCTTGTAACTCAGAAGAAATAGACAGAGGACTCAAATGTTTCTCCACACCAAACAAAAGAAGGTACATAGTTGTAGACTTGCTTAAACAGGGCAATTAACTCAAGAGATCGTCGCTGATGGTGCTTGGGAACAGAGCCTATGCCCACAGCCTGCCCTGCCACAAGGACACTGCTGCTTCCTTTAAATCCACTTCCCTGATCACTACTGCGGTGTCCATCCTGGAGATACGTCTGTGGTAGGTTTTACTTGAACCCAAAAACTCACAGGCCACATGGCCTTGTGGTTATCCTATGGCTTCCCTCTAGCAGGGCTGAGGACATTATTTCTGCCAAGGGCCCTCTGGACATCTGCAACATCATTTTTGGGCCATACAAAAAGCACATGAGAACATAGGTGTCTGCCCTATCACGTGCCGAACACCTCCTACCTTGGCTCTACAGGAAAACAGCACCTTTTATTTCAAGTTGCAAACTACTCAAGTACAAAGAGCTGCAGGGTGCACACATTTGAGGGCACCAAATAGATGCTGGTGTCTGTGAATACTCACAATGGCTATTCACTGCCCCCATTACCAAGACAGAAGCATCTAGAATTCACTAAACCTTCTAGAGATTACAGTAATGCTTTGAATCTCACATGACTCATTGCTCTGCACCAGAAAGTGTATATTAGGACTGTGTGTGAGGGAGGGAGGGAACGATCCCAGGTGAGTTACACAGTGGTCTCTGTAGTGCACTGCAGACCCGAAGGATGACACTGTGTGAGGGTGAATGATCTCCACGTGGAACCAGCACCTACAGAAGCAAGCCTTCACCTCTGGGGGCATCTGCCTGGAGATGGAGTGAATGTGCCACAACTCCAGCCAGAACAGTGCCCAGTAGATGGCAGAAACCAAGAAACGGAGATACTAGAACTTCTGATCCTGCTGGCTATCATTACCAGATCTCTGCCAGGATTATAGCTCAAAATAAACAAGTCCATTTGTTAGCATGGCTCAACCCCGTCCCACAGGAGCCTTAGCACCATTCTGTAGCCAGCACACAAACCCCTAGCCTAGGGGTCCTGGCTCCTGTCTCTTCTATGGGCAGTGCTGCCCTGCAGAAGCCAAGCATGCATCCAAATGTGAAACTTTGATGTGTGAAGTATAATCATATGATAACTCTACTGTGCAATTTTAAACATGCCTAAACATTTAAAGATTAAATACAAACCCATCTGCAAATATCACTGTACAGCCGCTGGTGCTGTGGTGTGCTGATGTCAGCTCCTAAGTCACCTATGCTATGGTTGTATACTCTATACATCTCAGAACCTTGAGTCTTACAGCACTCCCCACACCAGACAAAAACTTTTGGGGTCTGACTTTAGTTTTGAGCAGCTCTCCAGGACTATCAGGAAGTAAGGCTACCTTTGGCTAGGCTAAGTGTGCTAAGACTTGGGAACACAGATCACTGCTAAACATGTGAGAGATGACAATAACTTGAATTAAGAGTAGAAAACGTGACTGCTAGCTAGCATGGGCTGACATGACCCATCAGATTTCTAAGACTTAAGACAAAGACAAGTGTATTGGATTTCACAAACGGCAACACTGCTTGCATGCTGAGATAAAATTGTCCGTGTCAGATTACAAAATACATTAAGGGGTATGGGCATGTTCATGTGTTAGAACACCTGCCTCACAACTGTGAAGCCCTGAGGTCAACCCTTGTACCACAGAACAGCAGTAATCAAACTATTAAAACAAACTGTGACAACACTAAATTAAATGCCATACATGGCTCACATTATGGGCCAGGGACAGCACTGACTTCAATGAGTTTTGCATATAAATTCTAGAAATGAAGGGCTGACATCATGGATTTTAATTCAAGATTAAAGCACAGCAGACTGGGGAAGTCTCTGAATTCACATCTGACTGCACCAAACATAGGGGCAGGGCAGGGCACAGCTACTCATGCACATATGCACACACACACACACACACACATGGGTAAACACCAGAGCCAGACCTGGCCTGGGCGTCTATAAGCAGCCACTCTGTACAGATGACCAAAAGACACAATCCTCATCCTCAAGGATAAGGGCTGGACATCCTTTCTTACAAGCAGGATGGGAGTGGAGGTCACACGGTGTGTTAGAGCCGGGGCACTGCTGTGCTGAGTCAGAGGCTTGCCCTGCTAGGCCTGCAGCCACCTTCAAACTAACCCAGTGCCCCTCCAAAGGTTCAGGACAGCAGTGAAAACCCAGCTTCCTTTGAATTAAGTGGGGAAAAAGTGTGCTTTTGGCTATTGTTTTGTTTGTTATTATTATTTTTGTTTCCCTTTAGTGCTGGGGTTTAAACCCAGGGCCTTTCAGGTTGCAAAGCAAGCACTCTACCATTGAGCTGCATTCCCAGCCCTGTTTTTCTTTAAACTGAGACAGAATTCATCAAGTTCACAAAAAGTTCATAAAGTACACAACTCACTGACTCTGGTACACAGAGTGTGTAACCATCACCACCGTCTAACACAGGTTTTACTACCTCACAAAGAAATCCCATGCCTGTCAGCAGCCAGTCTAACTTCCTGTACACAGATCCTGGCAATTTCTCACTACCAGACACTTCCCAGGAAGTCAGACAACGTGTAGCCTTTTATTCTTCCATCTTTCAAGTGACAGAGTTTTCAAGGTGGATGTATGTGCCAGCATTCCAATCCTTTTCACAGCTGAATAATATTTTGCAGTTAGGAGAGACCATATTTTGTTCATTCTTCTACTGGTAAACACTTAGGCTATTTCTACTTTTTGGTTTCTGTGGGCAGTAGTGTTATGAACATTTGTATACAACTTCTGGTACAGACTTATGATTTTAATTCCTTCTCCCCACCACCCCTTGCAGTTCTGGGACTGGAACACATGGCCTCAAGCTCTCTCTGGGCTTCCTGCTCACAGCTGGTAATCTATCACTTGAGAGGAACACCTCAGTCCAGCTTTTTTTTTTTTTTTTTAAACTTTTGGTGCTGGTCCTGGAGTTTGAACCCAGGGTCTAGGTACTGTCCCGGAGCTTTCTGCTTAAGGCTAGTGCTCCACCACTGGAGCCACAGCTTTTTTGATGCTTAATTGGAAATAGAATCTCCAGACTTTTGTGCCTGGTCTGGCTTTGAACCATGATCCTTAGATCTCAGCCACTTGAGTAGCTAGGATTACAGGTGTGATCCACTAGTATTTGACTCAATCTTTCTTGAGAAGTAATTTGGAGATAAGAGTCTCAGGGACTTTTCTACTCATGCTAGCTTCAAATTGTGATCCTCAGATCTCAGCCTCTTGAGTAGCTAAGACTAAAGGCATAATCCAATGATGTTCAAATTTAATTCTCATATATATGTGTGTATGTGTGCATATATATATATATGTATATATATGTCACATATATATAAAACAATTTTTGGGTTTGAGCACTGACCTATTAAAATATTATATCCAACTGTTACAGATGGCTCATGTCTGTAATCCTAGCTACTCATAAGGCCGAGATCTGATGACTGTAGTCCAAAGTCGGAGCAGACAGGAAAGCCCATGAGTCTCTTATCTCTAATTGAGCACTAAAAAGGCAGAAATGGCACTGTGGCTCAAGTTGAAGAGCACTAGCCTTGGGCAAAAAAGCACAGAGACAGTGATCAGGCCCTAAATTCAAGCCCCAGGATTGAAAAATAAGATTTATTATTGCTTTAAAGGATTAGAACAGAGATTTCAAACTAAGGGTATGTTTGTGCATGTGCACGCATGCCAGCCAGTACTGAAGTTTTTAACTCAAAGGCCTCTCACTCTCGCTCAGCTTCTGTGCTCCGGGCTGGTACTCTATCACTTCAGCCACACGTCAACTTCTTTGCAACTGTGTTGATACAGCCTCATGGACCTTTTTTGCTTCCTGTCACCTCTGCAATCACAGTGGCTTCAACATTTACTTTTGAGTCTTGCATTAAAAGTCTTCATTTTGCTTATAAATATTTAAGAAAAAAAATCCAAATTCTCACCAGATTAACTACCTGAGCAAATTTAAAACATTGCTTCCTTCCAAAATGCTCCTTGTCAGAAAATTTCCCCAAAACTGTTAAGAGTGCAGAAGCACCAAGCAGGAAACTCTCAGCAACAAGGCAGTCATCCCAACTCCAGTGCTGAAGTTAGGTTTGTTCTTAGTGAGGCAGAGACAGAGTCTGCAGTATTCAATATGAGTGTGAATAAACTGGAGGGCCAGACAAAGCTGTCCGAAGACAGCCTTTCCCTGCTACCTTTTGCTCAGGCCTGAGAAGGATTCCCTTTTCCTTCTAATCCAGCAACCGACTTGTTTCCACTGTTTCTTTTTCCACTGCTACTACCCTAGCTCATGCTACCAAAATTGTGCAAGACAGCGACGATGTACCACTTTCTTACTCCTCAGCTCTAGTTACATACACTTAATTTCTTCATTCTCTTGAGTTCCTCACACTACTTAAATCTGAGTCTTTACATTTCCTTTAGAACCCAAGGTTCCTTTATTAATGCTCTAAGTAATCTCCAAAGTCTGAATCATCAGGGTAGCAGGAAAAGGTGTTTGTTCAAAATTAACAAGGGCAATATCCCTCAGCTGTACCTGAAACAATAGCTACAGTGGTCTCCAGTGCAGTCTGAAAGTTCAGACTCAGTGAAGAGCAGGAGTAAATACTTTGGAGGGTTTCTTCAGACTCCTAGAAATCGGAGCTGTGCATGGGAACCCAGACTACTCACATAATGGACCCCATTACCCTGCCTCAGTTGCCAAACCCAAGTCCACAGGCCACAGGACCCAGAACGAGAAACATCAGATCACAGCTCTCTGGTGTGTACAATATTCCCAGGACCCTCACTAGCTTCAATCTCCATACAGTGATTTTCATTCTAGTGTTTTCACATGCCATGCACAGCTACCTGAATTTCAGCAGTGGAAGGACAAAAACACGTTGGGCCCAGACTTTGTGGCTGCATAGGACACAATGACCAGGAAGCCTATCTCCTTCAGCCCATGTTCTGCAGTGGTAATTGCAGTGAATGACAACCAGTGACCACTGACCCTTTCCACGACACCTCCACCCACACATGTGGCAGGTCACTGCAAGACTGCGGAGACACTCTACCCTCTCTAACACATCACCACCTGTGTGTGCACACACGTGCGTACCTGGGTTTGAACTCCAGTCTTGCCCTTGCTGGCTGGTGCTCTAGCAGTTGAGCAACTTCAGTCACTTATATGTTTGTGTGTATGCCAATCTTAAGGCTTGAACCAGGCCTGGATGCTGTCCCTAAGCCTTTTTGCTCAAGGCTAGCACTCTACCACTTGAGCAACAACTCCATGTCTGGCTTTTGGTGTTTAATTAGAGGAAAGAGTCTCATGGACTTTCCTGCCCAGTCTGGCTTTGAACTGCAATCCTCAGATCACAGCCTTCTGAGTAGCTAAGATTACAGGCGTGAGCCCTCACTGCCTGGCTTGTCACTTTTTTTTTTGGGGGGGGGGTCTGGTCGTGGGGCCTGAACTCTGGGCCTGGGCGCTGTCCCTCAGCTCTTCAGCTCAAGGCTAGTGCTCTACCACTTGAGCCACAGCGCCACTTCCGGTTTTTTTTTCTTTTTGCTTATGTGGTGCTGAGGAATCGAACCCAGGGCCTCAGGCATGCAAGGTAAACACTCTACCACTGAGCCACCTTCCCAGCCCCTGTCACTTTTTTTTTTTGTTTTTTGGTGCTAGTACTAGGCCTGGGTGCTGTCCCTGAGCTTTTCTGCTTAAGTTTAGTGCTTTACCACTTGAGCCACAGCTCCACTTCTGGCCTTTTTGGTGGTTAACTGGAGCCCCTTCTGGCTCTGAGCAGCAATCCTCAGACCTCGGCCTTCAGAATAACCAGGATTGCAGGTGTGACCTGTGCACATGGAGCATGAGTATGGCAGTGGCCTTGGATGGCCAGTCCCAGAGTCCTCACTGCTGATGCAGCTGTGAAACCACAGACTTTTTGCAGGTGAAGACACTACTTATTAGTTTAAATGCAGACCTTGATCCAGCAGTCCTGCTTATGACCACTGTGCCTGTACAGTGCATACACATCAGTGTACTACTTGAACTGGTACACAAACACAAACCTGAGCTAAACAAAGTCAACATCAGATGGAGATCTTTTAGTGGGGCTCTGCAGCGGAAACTGCTTTCTGGGCAGTAATAAACACTGACTGCTGGGAGGAGCAGCTTTACCACCTAATTAGGTACGAGCAGGATCAATAGCTAACGTAGAGGGCTTGCATTTGGAGGAAAATATGGATGCCCATTCTCCACAAGACCTGTCAGGTGTGGAAAGACCAAGTGGAGCCCTACCTCCTCCTCCAGAGCGTCACAAGCCAGGTGGATGCGGGAGGTGTCTACATGGTGGGGCTCTGACTTCAGTTTCGTGGACCGCAAGCTCCACAGCTTGATGCAGGAGCTGTCAAACCCAGCAGCAAGCAGCTTGCTATCAGGAGAGATTTCTGCCGTGTTCAGCAGCTGCTCTGTGTTATAGAAGGCATAGAAGCAGATGGTGGTGAGGGAGGGAGGCCCGTCCTTGACACGCTTGATGCTCTCCTGTAAGACCTCCAAGGCAGCTTCGTTCTGCAGAATAGGGCTGGGCATCTCTGGAGGCTCCAGGCCGCTACTCTCACTGCGGGAGGAGCTGCCACTGGCATAGAGCTGGTAGTCTGTCCTCTTGGCAGGCTGCACATCCAGGTGAATGTGCACAGTGAGGACCTTGCACAAGGCAGTGTTGTTGTCACTCTGGAGGTAGCGGATCAGGTAATTGTAGCTGTCTTCTTGGAGACGGACCACATACTTGTTGTCTAGGAATGCCCGGAGCTTGAAGTTGGACAGGATGTCCTGGATGGTCTGAGTGGTCTGCAGCTGCTCAATGACGTCCTTCTGGCTTGCGTTCTGCAGGAACATCCCATGGAAGCGGCTGTAGAAGCTTTCCACAGTGCTCTTTGGGCTGCTCTGGACCAGGTTGAGATGGAGGTAGACAAAGAGGGGGTAGAGGAGAGGCATCACTTCATGGCTGTGTTGGGAGTCTGAGTCTGCAATGAGAAGAAAGGCTGACACTCAGAAGACTTGTATAAAACACAGGTGCCCTCCTGGGAGCCCCACCCCTAACTCCTTCTGGTCAGGATCCTTTTCTGCAGACGGATCAAGATACCAGCTTTCATGGAATTCTGCAGTTCCAAAGTTTTCTGAGAAGAACAGATTCTGAGGCCTGAGGTCCAGCCCAAAAGTCACAGAGGACTTGCTCTCACCCCAAAAGAACTCAGCAGCTCTTGTGCCAAAGGCTTTAGAGTTCAGCATCTTCCCCAATATGTGAGCAGTTTTCAAATCACTTCTGATGGCCCTTAGACATACTCTCAAGGCATCATTAGCCTCTGCAAAAACTTTCTAACTTGATTATAACTTTAAAAGCAATGAACAGAGTATAACCAAAATGATATGGATAGTACACTTAAGAGGAAGTTTTGACAAGAGATCTTAGCCTGTAAAATCACAGCACATACAGTGGGCTCCCTGACACATCAGCTATCCCGGCTGGCTATGCCTTAATGAGATGACACTGCTCATCCCAAGTTGTTCTGCCAGCATTCTCATTCTGACTTTTTTAAAAATAAAAAACTTCTCTTTTGCAGTGGCAAGTTATAAATGAGACATTTTCTGGTCATTAAGAGATATGTAAAGCATGTCTATAATCCTGACACTTGGGAGGCTGAGGCAGGAGGACTCAGTCAGCTGAGCTACACAGTAAAATCAGTCACAAGCTCCAGAAAACCCTAAAGCAAATACAAGCCAATGGGTTGGGAGTGCAGTTCCAGTGTCATGGTAGACAAGTGCAGGGCCTTGGTTCAGTTCCCAACATCACAGAAAGGATTAAAAAAAAAGATGAAAGAGAAAAAATGAGATTCTACTAATGTGAGACAATAATGCCACGAAACTGTGTGACAATGAATGTTCACAAACAGCCAGCTGTAACTGTCACAGATTAGCAGGAAGATGCATGTGACACAGAAGGACAGGAGCAGGGCCCAAGGTAGTTTGTGACAGTGGGAGTGGGTGGCCCGGTGGGACACTAGCACCAGGGTTAGCCCACCGTTCACCCGTCAGTACCAGTCCAGTGCATGACCCCAGTGCCATCTAGATACCTGCTGGCAGTAGCTGGTTCGTTCCACTGAAACCCACCTAGTTTGTCCTCTTTTACATCTCATTGCTTTTGTGGTTTTGCTTTGTTTGTAATGAGTTTGGGTTTTTTGGTACAGAAATACCAAAGATATTTAGTGTGATGTTTGTACATATTTAAATAAGTTAAATGCTTTAAGCCAGCTTTCATGTTCTGCTAGTTTTTTTTTTTTTAAACAACAAGATGGATTTAATGCAGGACTCAGGAACACTGAAGTGGAGAACCTAGACTTTTCTTTTTTGGGGATACAGGGGTTTCAACTCAGATTAGCACTTGCTAGACAAGCACTTATCATTTTATGCACCCAGCAATTTATGCTTTATTCATCAGGTAAGACCTTGTGCTGTTTGCTCAGACTTGGTGGCAGGCTACTTCCTGAGTAGCAGATTACAGACATACACCTACCGAACCTAGCTTACTTGTTAAGATGGGATTTTGTTAACTTTTAGCCAGAATGTCCTTGAAGTAAGATCCTCCCAATCCCTGCCCTCCTCAGAAGCTGAGATTAGTGTGACCACTGAGCTTGGCTTGCTTACTAATTAAATAATACCAGCTTACTATTTCTGCTGAACAATCCACTTTATCATGGAGCAACACAATCTGTGTAATAGGTACATGTAGAATAAATGTTCCTTCTTCAAAGCCACAGTGAGAAGAGGAAGTTGGTGACAATACGTGGTCTCACTGAACTGTAAGCTAAAACGAACCCTGGTTTTGCAGGCTGTGCCTCCAGGCCCACAGGCAAACAGGGAGCCAGGGCAGGCTGGAGTGGCTGGTCCTTACCACTCAAGAGATTCAGATACTGCTGCATGCTCACAGAGGACTGAGGAGGGACAGGCCCAGTCTGAGACTTACTACGTGTCTCTCAGCACACCCTCGGATTGGTCCATGGACCGCCACAATGACGCAACAAGGCAGGAATATTAATGGCCCAGATCCTCAGGATGAAGACCTGAGTCACTCACCAGGTGAAAACCCATGGCTAGACGAGGCACTTGCTGACGGCAAGAGGAATGTGGAATGAGTAGCAGGACAGGGTGGCTATGAACAAGAGCTCCCATCACATAACAGAGAAAGAGGGTTGTGGTGTTCTGAATTCCTTCTGCACTTCCTTAGGAATGTGTGTGGATGTATACATGTATTGAGCAAACCCATTTCCCTCTCCCTGTGACTATGTATCTTAGGATGAACAAACTTTCTGTCGTAGCATATACTCATTACTAACTGCATAACATCACAGCTTAAGCTGTGGACTGTGATGCAGGGCACACAGAGCTCAAAGGCACAGCCCCTCTTCTGTCTGCAAAGGATGGCAGGGTTGTGCTAGGTAATCACATGGTGTTACTGTTTGTCTTTACACACTCCTTTAACTGTCTGTAGAGATTAAACATAGGACACGAAGAAGCCACGTGTGCCGAGCTGATGATGGGTAGTCTTTGGTGAGGTATTATTTTATATAAGCTGTGAAGGTTTCCTTCAAAAGAGATGGAACACTGCATTAGCAGACAGTATGGGAAGTACGCAGACTTGAAAAGCAATACTCTTCCACAATGTTGGAAGGACTTAATGGGAAAAGACTGAGGTCTGCTCATGAAGAATTCTGCCAACAGATGGCTTTCAGGTTTGGAGTGCAGTATCAACCTTCTTTGTTCACTAGTCTGACAGCTGTCCTGCAGATTTTAGATTTGCCAACCTCCATCACTCCATCAGGCAAGCCCTCATATCTCTCTCTATATAAATGCTCTGTTGGTTCTTTTTGTCTGGCAAACCCTGACTAATCAAAATCTGACTAATGCTGATGTCAATATTTCTTTAACATCTATGCTGTGGAGAACTTTTGGAAAATTTCTTTTCCAAAATACCAAGATACATACAAAGAACAGAAAGACTCAGCTTTTACACACTAGACCTCCAATACATGCTGTTGAGGAATGAAGGGTTCCACAACAACTTAGAATCTTAGTTTTCCAGATGAGAAATAGTTTAAATTTAGGGGGAAAAAACTGGCAGGAGACAGTGGCAGGAGCTTCTCTGCTTTAAAACAGAGAAGTACACTGCTACTTTGACACTATTCTCCCTTGTTTGGAGCCAGGTGAGCCACCTAAGATAGGCTTGGAAGAGGGACAATTTTATTCCCACTTCAAATTTTGTTCCCTTGCAATAACAGCCATCTGTGTTTGGCTGAAAGCATACTCATAAAATATCCTACCACACATAAAGTACACCCTTTCCTCCAACTGTCCATCCGCTGTATACTCAACAACTGAGAGCTCTGTGATGCCAATTCTGTGGCTGAGCAGCTGCCTGGGGTGGGGTGGGGGTGGGAGGTGTGGTTCTGTGTTCAGTTCCTGTGATGTGTGGTAAAGTTGTGTGGGGTGGGGGTGGGGGTGGAGGTGTGGCTGGTTTTGTAGACAGCCTAAGAGAAAGGGGACCTGGAGGTGGGAAGCCAGGAGTTAAGGGCAGGGCAGTAGCTGTGTGCAGGAACTCAAGAACAGAGGTCTGTGGGGAATGGGGCTCTCCCACTGGAGGTAAATGAACCCGAGCCTGAAGGCAGGAGGGAGGAAGCATCAGAGTGCATCTCACACCTATTCATCGTGTTCAACAAGTATCTACTAATTTGATTTGGTTCTGCTCTTTGGAGACAAAAGGGTGGAGAAAATGTTCCAGGAAAATAATCCTCTAAATAATCTGACAGATGGATTAAAGAAACAAAATATGGACAAAGTCACAGAGAGCCTTCTCAACTCTGAAACTAGATTAAACATCCTAAGGAAAGGCTGATGGGTTACAATCTGCTGGAATGTAAATTTCAAGGCAAAAAACCCCCAAAACTATAAGATGAAAATAAGGGGGGCTGGGAATGTGGCTTAGTGGTAGAATGCTTGCCTAGCATGCATAAAGCTCTGGGTTCAATTCCTCAGTATATAAACAGAAAAGGCTAGAAGTGGCACTGTGGCTCAATTGTTAGGGTGCTAGCTTTGAAGAAAAAAAAACAACTCAGGGACAGTGGCCCTGAGTACCAAAAAAAAAAGGAAGACCCACATACTAAGAAAAGACAGTGCTGTCAAATACAGGGATTCCCCCTCAAAAATATTTAAGAAAAGCACTGGGAGCCAAGGGGTCAAATGGGGAAAGGAATGTAAATGTAAGGACATATATACTGTGCACTTGTCTCCAGCTGCACTTCTGGGATGGAAGATGACGAGACACCCACATAAAGCACTGGAGCCACCTTAGCACACTCTACAGACAAGAATGTCTCCTGCTCTAACAGGACACGCTGCTGCAGCACAGCATCTGGCGTCCTTACTACTCCATGTGAGACCCTGTGAGTACAGCCATGTTAGGACCACTCATGGCTTCACCACTTGGGTACAGGCTGACTCAGCTGAAAGCAGGCTGCAAGACCTCTGCCATGAAAGCAAGAGAACACTTTCATGGAATGACAAAAATGTCATCACACCAAAAATCCAGTAACTTTCTAAAAATGGCATTATTTTAAACTTTTCTTTTTGGGTTTCTTCTTTGGGGTTTGAACTCAAGGCCTCCTGTTTGCTAGGCAGATTGTCTACTACTGAGGTATGACCCTAGCCCAAAGTTTTCGTTTGGCCAGCCCTGGGGCTTGAGCTTGGGGCCTGGACACTGTCCCCGAGCTTTTCACTTAAGACTGGTACTCTACCACTTTGAGCCATAGCTCCACTTCCATCTTTGTGGTGGTTAACTGAAGAGTCGCATGGACTTTATTGTCTGGGCTGGCTTTGAACTGGATCCTCAGATCTCATCTTCCCAAGTAGGAGCTAGACTAGGCATAAGCCACAGGTGTTTGGCTTAATCCAAAGGTTTAAAACTAGATTTTGACATTCACTGATGTCTAGTAACTCTTAATACCTTGAGGGCAGAGAAAGATTTCCAGTTCTTTCAGGTGTTTTGTGTACAGAGAGTCAGCAAAATACCTTGATTAGTAACCAGAATTAATGTTTCTCTTATTGCGACTTCCAGCTTTAAGTTGTAATTAGTCATCATAGAACCAAAAAAGATGATCTGGTTTTCCAAATGGTTTCTTCACATAGTATGAGACAAAACTGGGATCCCAGAGAGGTTCCAGGACTCATTTTTCTTTTCTTTTTTTTCTAGTACATTCAGATTTTATTTTTTTGGGTCCGGTTGTGGGGCCTGAACTCTGGGCCTGTGTGCTGTTCCTCAGCTCTTCAGCTCAAGGCTAGCACTCTACCACTTGAGCCACAGCGCCACTTCCAGCTTTTCTCTTTTTTGCTTATGTGATGCTGAGGAATCGAACCCAGGGCCTCATGCATGCAAGGCAAGCACTCTACCACTGAGCCACCTTCCCAGCCCTACATTCAGATTTTATGAAACTGTGTATTATCACAAATCATCCAGGGACAACATTGATAGGAATGTATAGTCATAATTTATAATTTCATTTATCAAACTATTTGTCCAGCTTTACCAATGGCATATAGCATGTGTCCCTATAACAGGTAGTTCAGCAAAAATCACAGATAAAAAATGCTGAGAACACAGGTTAGTGAATGTAATCACATTCAGTTTTGTCATACACTATTATTAACTTAACAGTATAAAAATGGAAAGTCTTTTTATTTTTAAATTACTGCTTTCAGGACTCATTTTTCTGATTGATTCATTTTCAAAACCCCAGGGTGAGTTGAAAGAGATGATTGGAATGCACGCTACTGATTTTGTGTGTTACCATGAACTGGTCTAAACAACTTTGAATTCCTGCATCTGCTGTCTTACACTTTGGGAAATGAAGGGCCAAGACCATCTTGAGAAATATAGTCTTGTTATCAGAGATACCAATGTACATTTCAAACCACTGCATTTTGTTTTTCTTAATTCAACATGGGCCATGGAAAATCAGTCAACACCAGAGCTCTCTGCATTTTTGTACACTTCAACCTTATGACCTAACTCTCAGGAATTCCCAAGTTTAGAAGTATGCAGTATCTCTGACTCCCTTTTACCTGACATAACGTAGCCTCTCAGTGACATTTGCATTGCTCTATTTCTTGAAAAAAAAAACTTCCTGTGTCAAGGACTTACCTGTGAGAAAACTCCGCAGTCGTCCAAACTGTATTTCATATTGCTGGGGTTCTGCCTGGCATGGAGCTGCAGACACCACATTGGCACAACCAGATTCTGACTGGACTGAGGGAACAAAGACAGAGACGCACAAAGATAATTAATATCCAGAGTGTGGCAGCACAGAGGGTTTGGAGCACCAATGGCATCTGACACTGCAACAGACTCTCTAGGGAAGTGGGCGTCCTGGTTGCTAACCTCCTCCGTGTGTCCGCTCTCTCCTGACACCCCATAAAATGCACACAAAGAATGCAACAGCAGAAAGCATAGGACAAAGAGGTGGACAGAGTACAGACAGTATGTTCTTGAGATTTAGAAATATCTGGTGTCTCGACATGTTTCAGTGCAATGTGGCGTGGACCATCCCAGATAGAAGAGCCCGAGAGACTCTATCTCCAATTGACCAGCAAAAAACATGAACTAGAAGTATAGCACAGGTAGCAGAGCACCAGCTATGAGCAGAAAAGGCCTAGTGAGAATATAAGGCTACAGTTCAAGCTCTAGTATTGGTAAAAAACCCACAAAACTTTTTTCCATTTTACAAACAAGGAACACTTCTCCCAAGCCCCTCATGGTGCAAGAGGAATGCTTAGGGTTATGGGAATGTGTTAGTGGTGGTTCATCACACACAACATCCTAGATGGAGTTTCTTTTTTCTCTCTCTTTTTTTTTTTGGTTCCGGTCGTGGGGCCTGAACTCTGGGCCTGGGCGCTGTCCCTCAGCATTTCAGCTCAAGGCTAGCGCTCTACCACTTGAGCCACAGCACCACTTCTGGCTTTTTTCTTTTTTCTTATAAGGAATTGAACCTAGGGCCTCAGGCATGCAAGGCAAGCGTTCTACCACTGAGCCACCTTCCCAGTGAGACGGAGTTTCTTTTTTTTTTTGGGGGGGTCCGGTCATAGTGCCTGAACTCTGGGCCTGGGCGCTGTTCCTCAGCTCTTCAGCTCAAGGCTAGCACTCTACCACTTGAGCCACAGCGCCACTTCCAGCTTTTTTCTTTTTGCTTATGTGGTGCTGAGGAATCGAACCCAGGGCCTCAGGCATGCAAGGCAAGCGCTCTACCACTGAGCCACCTTTCCAGCCCCTAGACAGAGTTTCTTAAAACCAGTGTCATTTGGTCTTTTGTCCTCAGCAGGCCAGAATTCTTCTGGGAGCTGAGCAGAGAGTGAAGGCCGGAGTGTCAACACTCAGCATGAGAAAGTGTACTTAATTTCAGTTCTGTGAGTTTATGCTTCATACAAAGAAGATTCAAATTCTCTCATCCTTTTTGTAGGGGGCAAAAGGATGGTGGGGAAAAGCCACTTTCAGTGACTAAACAAAATCCAAACACAGCCAGACATTGGAGTATGGTTAGAGGAATGGCAAAACACAGTAGGGCTGAGGGCCACCACAAGTGTATACAAGAAAGAAATCAGTGCACTTCAGCAGGACTCAGGTAAAGAGGAGCTTGCAACCTGCTGGAAGGCCAAGTGGGGGAGAATGGATTTCCTCTGTGCCCTCCTCAGCCATGAATCCCACAGCTTCTTACATTACCCTCTCCTCTCCTTCCCCTGCCCATTCCTGACGTTACTTCTCACTGGACTGTGCCTTTTACCTGACCTGATCCAAGCTGTGGTCACCAGTGAAGCTTCATAACCTCAACAACCCTCCTTCCACTTGACACTGGGTAAAGTAAACTGTGCATGGTTTCTTTTGCACTCAGCTCATTCCTTCTACCATTTCAGGAGGAGGAAGTGGAGGAGGAGGAAGAAGAAAAGGAGTCAATGAACCACTAAGCAGAGTGAAGGGGCTAGAGCTGACCACTGCCACCACAACAGAGGGTTGGAACAGGAAGAAACAATAGTGGAAGAGCACAGAAAGCACAAGAAGGACCCGCTATGAGCATGTAAGAGGGGGAGCCAGGGCAGGGTCCCAGGAAACATTAATTCCAACCCCACCCAGCTATTAATGTATTTCATTATCACCTAATGCATGGCACAAGAAAATCACATCACATAAAACATGAACTCATAATAGTTACTTGCTACTCAGATGGAGGCATAATTAGGTTTGCTATGAACTCTGATTTCCACACAATCATAAGAGAAATGTTAAAAACTGCTGAGCTGGGTGCAATGGCTCATGAGTTATCCCAGCATTTGGAAGGCTAAGGTAGGGGGAGGATCAGAGGTTGAGGTCATTCTGGGCAACATAATGAGATCTTTTCTTCAAAAAATAATCCAATAAAAATCTCAGGAAGCATGTGTGGAGTACTAGCATTTACAATCAACTAATCACGAAGTACACATTCAACCATGGGTGAGGCTCCATGCCAGCAGAGAAGGCCCTGTCCCTCGGCTAGGTCAGGGGTCCTGTGGAAGAGAGTTGTATATGCCATCACAAACAGAATAATCTAGACACTCCAAGGAAGGAACTGTGACTCTGGCTTGGGCCTTAAGGGACTAGAAGTGACAGTGAACACAGCTTTGAAGGACACAGCTGGGGACCAGACCCCAAAGGGCAAGCAGCTCCTGCCCCGGCCATGGACAGGAGGCCTGTTACCTGTGAGGTTGGCAGCCATCTCCTCAGCGGTCTGTGAGAGTCGCAGACCTTGCTTCAGGGGGCCGTCTGAGTCCACGTACTGCCGGCGCTTGAGGTAGCAGGACACTGCCACCTGGACTTGTTCCGTGCGCACGCGTTTCATGACCTGCACAGGGGTGCAGAAGATGAATGTAAGAGCGGCAGAGGGGACATGCGAATCACAGGGTAAGACAAGTCACCAGCCACTGACTTCCAAAGTACAAATTCAAGTTTCCTGATACCAGTGTGCCACTCTTTCATTTTAACTTTTTTCAGAGATCATACAGCCAACTGTTTTGAGGGAGGGGGAAACTGCGTTTTTGAACTCAGGGCTTTGCACTTGCTACCCAAGTGCTCTAAGCCCCATCCACAGTCCTTTTTTGCTTTGTTTTTGGATAGGGTCTTGTGCTTATGTCCAAACCAGCCTTGACTGCAATCTTCCTCATGTTCCCACATAGATCGGATGTCAAGTGTGTAGCATCATACCCAGCTACTGGTATAGATGAGATCTTTAGAACTTGTTGCCTGAGCTGGCTTGAGCTGTGATCCTCCTAAATCCCAGCCTCCCCATTAACTAGAGAATATAATTTATTCTATTGCTTAAGTATATATTAATTTTTTTTTTTGCTGTTAGTACTGAGAATTCAGGCCTTCATATTGTTGCTTAGCTTTTTTGCTTAAGGCTGGCATTCTTCTACTTGAGCCACACCTACTGCTACTTCTTCATTTTGCTGGCTAACTGGAGGTAAGTGTCTCTTGGATTTGTCTACCTAGGCTGGCTCTGATCCTTCATTTTCAGATCTCAGCCTCCTAAGTAGCTAAGATTATAGGCTTGAGCTACCAGTGCTTGGCTTCAAGTTTATTTCTAATTCTTATCTGTTCACACTTTCTTTTCATGTATGATGTGTAGTGAATAACCAAGCCCACATTTTCCCCAGCTACTCATGAACACCCTGTTCCCAGACCACCTATAAATACTCTTCTTCTTCCCAACTGAAGGCCACCTTTCAAGACCCCCAAATGTACACAAAGGGAAAACAGAGAAGGCACACATAAAAGCACTGTATATTACAAATGGTTAGGATTTCATAGCCATGGGATGTTAACTTATGACAGACACTGTACTATCTATGCATTTCTTTTCCAGATTACCACAAAGAATACAAAATACTTGCTAGGAAAAGGAGGCACTAAGAATAATGAGGTTGTGATTCAACAACATAATGAAACATCAGAAGTTCTAGACACTGACCTCCATTCTCACTATGACAGTGTATTAGCCATCTTTCTTATTCATGGCGAACACTAGGTTGGCACTCTGAGAGTAGTGTCCCTGCTCTCAGCATCATTCATTCACCAATGAGGATGAGTTGTTTCAGTGGCCACTGGTAAGGATGATATTACTGTATCAATCATCTGTGATGCTCTAACCTGGCTATTCAAGAATCCCGTGAGAATCAGAGGAAAAAGAATGAAAAAGTGGAGTTCACTGGCTGCATTGAGCATTGATAAAAGTGAACTATGTAACTCGTGGGTGGAGATGGAAGGGAGGGAATGGGAGAGAATGAGGGAACAGATGACGAAAGGAAGTGTACTCATTACCTCACACATGTAAAGGTGACCCTGCTGTATATCACCTCTAAAACTACAATAAATTTAAACAAGGAAAAAAGAAAAAAGAATCCCCAGTGAGTGCACGCATGTATACCTAACCTTACCCTGGAGATTCTGAGACTTTTTATGCCAATCCTGAGGCTGAACTCAGGGCCTGGGCACTGTTCCTGAGCGTTTTTTGCTCAAGGCTAGCATTATACCACTTGAGACACAGAGCCACTTGAGGCCTTTTCTGTTTATGTGGTACTGAGGAATTGAACCCAGGACTTCATGTATGCTAGGCAAGCACTCTATCCCAGCCCAGGAGATTCTGATTCAGTGTTATATTTAAAGAAAAAAAAAATTGAACGCAGACAGACAGAGGCTGTGATGGTACTGCTTTTTCCCAGTGTGGACAATCAATGCAACCAGCTTTCTTTGCATCCTATACTGCCTGCTAATGCTTTTAACTTGATTTCCAGGGTGTTTACTCTCAAAGTCTCCCATACCAACCCCATTCTATACTTAACCAAGACTAAGACCTTTCCAAATTTTCCACTGTGATCTTTCACTGACATGGGAACATATACATGCCCCCACAAGCATCCCTGAGCATGCTAACCAGGCCCTTCTGACGTGAAAGACATGAGAATTCCAGGAGAGAAGACAGGAGGCACACCTTGCAATACCAGCAACCTGAAATGGGTTGATACATGCAAAAGTCTACAGAGGGAAAATCAATGCGAAATCTATACAAGAGTAAACAGCAACAACAAAAAATAAAAAGAAACCATCTACAGATGCTGATGGTAATGAATATGCCTCAATTCTACTCCAAATGGAAGTAATTTGAATCCAGTCACCACTTACAAGGTGTCACCATTACAACAGAGGACCACTGACCAGGGCTAATTATCTCAAGGAAGGGATTTGGCATTAACACTTTTGTAGTCACGTGGAACTTAAATACCAGAGATATGATCCAACCAACTTAGCTGATTTTAATTCTAATGTACACATTACAAGTGAAATAAAAAATGGAAAGAGTTCCTAAGGGAAATTATTTTCTATTTTTTTTTTTTTGGGTCCAGTCGTGGGGCCTGAACTCTGGGCCTGGGCACTGTCCCTCAGCTCTTCAGCTCAAGGCTAGTACTCTACCAGTTGAGCCACAGCACCACTTCCAGCTTTTTGCTATTTGCTTATGTGGTGCTGGGGAATCGAACCCAGGGCCTCATGCATGCAAGGCAAGCGCTCTACCACTGAGCCACCTTCCCAGCCCCTCCTAAGGGAAATTAGAACCCTTCTGCCTGCCACACACTGACTTAAAAAAAAAGAAACTTATCAATGGAGGCAGAAATTACTGTTCGAAGGTACACTAACCTAATTTATGGTTGATGATAAGCAAAAATGCCTAAGACAGCTGGGAGCCTGTGGCTCATGCCTGCAATCCTCAGTAGGCTGAGATATGAGGATCATGATTCCAAGCCAGCCGTGGCAGGAAAGTCCATGAGACTCTCACCTTCAATTAACCACCAAAATGCCAGAAGTGGAATTGTGGCTCAAGTGATAAACAGTGCTAGCCTTGTGCAAAAAAAGCTCAGGGCCGGCACTCAGGCCCTGAGTTCAAGCCCCTGGACCTGCAGGGAAAAAGAGATAGAAAAGAAAAATGTTCATCTTTTGATTTTCTGGCTACTCATTTCTATGGCAGGAAGGACTTATGTATTATTCATAATGAAAATTAGCACCTGGTGCCTGGGGCTTATGCCTGAAATCCTAGCTATTCAGAAAGTTGAGACTTGAGAATCACAGTTCAAAGTCAAACTAGGCATAAGTCTGGTTAATTGGACACAATTAACTAGAAAATACAAGTGGCAAGTGTGGAACAATCGTTAAGAGTACCAGCCTTGAGCGGAAAAAGCCAAGTGAGAGCAGCCTAGGCTCTGAGTTCAAGCCCAAGTTTTGACACAAAGAGAGGGAAAAAAAGATTAAAGTTAGGGCTGGGAAGGTAGGTTAGTCCTAGAGTGCTTGCCTAGCGCGCATGAAGCCCTGGGTTCGATTCCTCAGTACCACATACTCAGAAAAGGCTGGAAGTGTCGCTGTGGTTCAAGTGGTAGAGCACTAGCCTTGAGCAAAGCGGCTCAGGAACAGCGCCCAGGCCCTGAGTTCAAGGCCCAGGACTGGCAAGAAAAAAAAATAGCACACATTATATTTAGCACACAAACTTATGCTTACAATGAACCTTTCGGGGAAAGCAATTACAACAGCCACTAGTGACACGCTGCTTCCAACGTAAGGCATCTGTATACACAGGTCTTTTCCGGCTCCTCTGGAAGGGCAGAAACTGAGACCCAAAGGTCCCGCTGGCCGCTGGCTAGGGCTGGGCGTCCTAACGGGCGATGGCCGGACCTCTTCCCCAAGGCCGGGGCGGTGGCCGGACCTCCTCCCTGCGGCCCGGGCGGTGGCCGGGCTCCACCTGAGCGCAGCCCGGTGGTTTCTCAGGCCAAGCCACTCACCTACGCTCACCGCAGTGACTCCACCCGGAGGGCCGGCTAGGTGGG